AAAAGGAAAAACCACAGCTTGTGGCATAAAATTGCATAAAAATTGTATTATTGCCACCTGTAAATATTATTTAAACCACAATATAAAGTGAATTTAATATAAAAATGATAAATGGTTGAATTAATTATTGTTGTTATTAGTTCATCACTTGGAAAGTAATTTTTAAAATCTGTCTAATATGCATTCATGCCTTTTGTTGCTAATTAGTTGTAATTTGCTAATTAGTTATGCCCTTTTTGAAGTTGGCATTAGTCAATTGATCAGCTTTTCGTTTTTGTTTTGTTGTTGCACTCAATCATATTCACTAAATATTTATAAGTGAAGGCGAAAGGCCTTTCAATAATAATTTGAAATCAAAAGTGCAATCATACACAATATGTTTACTCACCCCACTGATTAAGCTATTAAAGCGGAAATGCAGATTCATTAAAAATTTGATTAAGAAATCTTGCAATAATTATATTTTGATGTTGTAATAATAAATTTTTTATACGAATATTTCATATTCCTCATATTTTTATTTTTCTCAATACGTCATGTTTATGATTAATGACTTTTTAAAATGTTTTTACTATAGATTTGTTCAACGTTTACTTTACACATATTTAAAATTTAATGTTTCCTTAAAGTCAAGCTAAATATTTATACTTAAAACATTTCCCATATACTATAAAAAGTAAATTTATAAACTATAAATAATGAGTTAACATAATTATTAATAATAAAAAATTAAATTACAAAATTTATGACAGTATAGGTATGTAAAATTAACCAAAAATTATTCTGATAAAAAGAAAAAATTTCTGAGTTTAGAAATCTGATTTAATGAATTTATATCTGTTTTTGTAGACAGTACTCTTCCAATTTACCGAAAAATGTCTTGTACAGCCCATTCGCTAAGTTGCAAAAATTGTTAAATAGAATGAATAAGTTCAATAAAATATATACAAAATATGGAAAATAATTTTTTTTATAAAAACCGAAGTCCATTTGTTTTTTGATGCATTCTATTGATTTTTAATATCCTTTCTTTAATAAGACTTATAAAATCACGATTTTCATGAAATGTATGTAATTATCTTTAGCCCATTAGTAATCCACTGTATATCTGTAAGATATTTAAGTAGAATATAAAAAATATATAATTTTTTCATTCATTAAATTGGAGATTTCTTGAATTCAGTATTTTTTATATTAAACCTTCACTGTAGGTATTTAAACGAAAACAAATATTTATTAGAATACAAAAATGGTATAACATTTTTTCAACAAAAAAAGTTTTATTATTATATATATGACAGTATAAGCAAACATATTTGATTTAAAATATTTTTTTTTGAATTTAAAATGACCAAATGTAAAAAGAAATGTTTGAGAAATGCTATATTTTTCTTAATCAACATTTTTAAATAATTATATAAAGAAAAAGTATGGGAAGGGTATAGTTAAAACTAATATTTTAACTAATAAGGGATAATAATTTATTTATAAAATATTTGGTATTTATTTTATAGAATGCATAATAAAATTGAAATAGAATTTTTGACGTCACCGTAAAAAAAACAATTGTATATTTTCTAAAAAATCCATAACCAATAAAATCAATAATTGCAAAATATAAAAAGAAATACTACTGTGTTTTAAACATTTGTTGACTTAAACACAAAGTTGTTTAAAAATGCAAAACCTTAAGCAAACTTTATAAAAATATGTAATATTAATTTGACAAACTAAATTTATTCAATACTAAATTTCAAATTATAAAGTTTAAACCGAAATCGCTGAAGATAAAAGATCACAAATGTTAATTTGTAATTAAGTATAAATTAAGTTAAACATTATGTAATTTTTTTTATTTATTAAGATTTGTTGTTATTTCTGGTTATTTTTATTGTCTTACGTATGCCAAATCGCCAAGTAACTTTGTACTAATGAGATGCAAGATACAAATCAAAATTAAATTTAAATTAATATATAGATATAGAAAATAATTTCAAGGTTTTAAAACGGTTAGATAATAACTTTTGGTTAAGCTTATAAATTTATCTTAGCAAATAATTAATTTCTTATATATAATAGAATTTAATGCAGTTTAAAAATAATTATTCAAAAAGCTTGCTGTAATTACTTCATTATAAAATAAAATTGTATATCTTAATATTAATTAACTTCAAAGGTGTACATTTATATAAATACGTAAAAAGTAATTTACTGTTCTCTGGACATAATAAATAATGTTATTTTTATTGGTTTATATCTAAAGTAAATACAAATTCAAATACACAATTATTTTTCCAATAGATTTAAATATTAACAATAAATGTGTATAACAAATAATCGAGGGTTCCGATATCATATTGATTTCTTATGTCTGATCTTGTTAACAACAATAATCTATCTGTTTACTTGACTTAAGTCTTGAATATAATTAAGCCTCAACAATTTAAAACGAATCTGGAACCACATGCCACATTTGTCAAAATGATAAATTTTACACATTAACTTAAGTGTAGGAGAAGATATTTAAATTTCAAATTCATATAGATTGTCCATAGAAACTATGTTTTGTAACATAATTTTTTAATTTGCCAACCACTTCAAAAGTACATGCTTAAGTCAAAATATTATTATTACGAAAGCGACATATTAAGATGTTTATAAAAAGTCAATAAATGGTATTGAATTAATTTAAAACTTATCAGATTCTATATAAACATCATAGTGTAAGACGTAATGAAATGCTTCTGTTTAAAACAATTTTCTTACCGGTTTAATTTAATTAAGTTTTTTATCATATCATATCAAAAATTTTGTCTTTATCATGTCACATGTATGTTAAAAATAACTACATCAATAGAAACAGCAGTAATAAATATTTTTTTTAAACTGATAAATATATTTTAATAGAAACGATACAATTTTAATAAAAATATATCTAACTGACACATTTTCAAATCTTTCGAGAAATCATTTGAGATTAAAATATCAATATTGTTATCATGATGAAAGAAATTATCCAAAGTATCCCATATTAAAGCATTGCCTAAGTGGCATAAAAACTGATCAATTCTTTTCTCTGACATGATCTATCGAATAATGAACATATCTATTAAAAATTTTAAAACACCGTAATAAAATTTTATTACTGATGGTATATTGACAGTTTATATATTGCTAAATTATTCAAGTTGTCTATCTATCCTCTTTACTATCAGAATCTAACTAAGCTGACTCATTGTCTTAACAACATATTCTATACTTATTTTAATATAGGATTAAATTATAATAAATAAAGTTTTTGACATCACTGCGAAAATGATTTATTTCAACTAATAGCCAGGACTCAGAATTGTTGCTTTATTCTTTCGACGAAGTTTTAGACATGTGTTGTGTGGGAATTGTTAGTGGTGATTGTTAGAATTTTGCACGTTACCAGTTTAACCCAAATACATACACTTTGAATCTACGCTACTTTTATTACTTACCTGAACTAAAAAACAAAAACTTATACATATTTTTTTTTATATTACAATATTTCTTTCCGTATTGTACCTGTTGCGTTTTATTCATCTTATTGAACATAATATTTTTGGGAATTGTACTATCGAAAACCCAATATCTCTTTAAAATGCAATATACAAATAGAAACAATTCATTATAACATGTTATTAATTACTTAGTATGTAGCATACTAGCTCATTTTAATGAAAAAATTCAATAATTACTAACATTAACACTGTAAAATTCAGTTGATACATCCTATATGTTATATCTTTTTCTATCCTTTCAAAAGCCTCTGTTTTAAAATTTTCTCTATTCCCTTAAATCAATTCTATATAATTCAAACTATGTTTTCATAAGAAAATTTTTAAATCAAAAAAATTTTTTTTCTTATCAAATGAATTCTTGAATTGACCATACAGCTGTTATAAATACCTCCTTTATCAGTACTGTTTGATAATATCTATTGGTTCAATTGCCCGTATATAATTTTTAGACTGTAAATATCCACGCCCCTGTAAAATTTGAGCCGCCAACCCATGTATGTACATACTAAGCCCATGTATACTTAGCTTTGCTTTCAAGTGGTGACGAATTTTGATAAATATTTATTCTTTAATAACAATTGCATTTGCTGTGCTATATTTAACTCTAACAGCTAGATTAAACTTACTTTAGATCGATTGTATTCTTCAAATCTATTTAAAGAGCTTAACATATTGTTGAATTCTACAGTCGCTTTGACAAGATAGACACAAAAGAACATTTGTTCATAACTTTTGCACCAATGGCAGAAAAATCTATCTATGATTAATAGACCCATTAAAGTCTTTTCTTACAAAATACAATTCCTAATTTAAACTTATCTTGATTTTTTCTATAACTTTCAATCATTCTTGGTAATAATAAATCCTTAACTGTTGAGGAAAATGACGGAAGGTATGCATGAGGTCATATTTAATTGATTTTTTTAAAAGTCACGAATGTTTATTTAAGGTAGAAACCATTTTCTTATATAATAATTTTTTTCCAATTGAAAGTTTATATTTATCAAATAAATATGTATTTCAATTTTTGTTGGTACAGGAAGAATAATAAAACATTTGAAATTAATAAATTTCCACTTTATTATCTAACATTAAATTCAGTTCAACATTAACGAATTTTGTTAATATTTTAAAATAATATTTTTAATACTAAACAATGCTTTTTATATTTTATAGTTTTCAGT